TTCAAAAATTAATAATATCAATTATTAACTGATTATTAACTAATTAATTTTAATAAATGAATCTCAGATTCGAGTTCTCCATACTCGATTACCCTTTGGTCCAACTTTTCCGAAAATATTTCAAAAATTAATAATATTAATTATTAACTGATTATTAATTGATTGTTAACTAGAAATAACCCCAGATTCGGATTCTCTACACTCGATTACCCTTTGGTGAAACTTTACCCGAACATATAATAATACTAATTATTAACTGATTATTAACTAGTTAATTTTAATAAACTAACGTCAGATTCAAGTTCCCCGCCCTCGATTACCCCCAGTCAAAGTTTTCCGAAAGTATCTGAAAAATTATAAATTATAAAATCTATTTCTATTTCTATTTCTATTCCTAAAAATATAAATGTAGTACTAAATTATAATTTATAATTTATAAATTTATAATTAGGAAAAGCCCTTAAGCAAATTATTTTCGAAGTGATATGATGCACTCAACTGTCCATTTATATTCGAAGTCGAAGTAGGCAGCTCATGAAAAGGTCTGTCTGAGTGAATGAAACAAAGAAAAACACAAAGATAATTACACATAGTTCATTTTACTGGTCTTCTTAAAGCTGTTTATTGAAAAATATAAACAAAACAGATACGAATGGATTTTAAGGAACCGCCAAAGAATTGAAACAGAATACAGTGAGCCGTTTCTTACATCTTTTTTGAAATTGCTGTTTCACGATTGGATTTTTGTTCTGAGTGAATTGGTATTAACAGTTTTATACTATTTCAGAGATTTTTTTATTTTAATTTTGAACTCGATATCGATTAGGATCACTTTTTATTCTATTCTTATTATCATATCATCAAAATTTTATCTGGCTGAAACTTGACTCATAATCAGTTCTTTAAACTCCTTATTAACCGGCCTATATTAGCACTGGAACCGGATCGGTTGTAAAAAATAAATCAATCAAGCCATACAGATAGAGATTTTACGATTTGAAGGTCCTCAAAAGTCTTCGTTGTCGATCCTGCTTCTGGTCATAAAAAACTAAGATACCGCATAGACTTCTGGTAGAGTTGGTAAAAAGGAGACAGAACACAAGTTATTTGATTATTTGTTGTGAGATTCACTTTAAAAAGATGGTTTTTATTGGATATCTCATGCATACTCTCCGAAACTGCACCCTTGCTTAACAATCTCTCCCCTTTTCGTTTCTTTGCTATAATACTTTACATAAAATTTATTGCCGAGTAGAGATATGACTTGACAGTTTTAATTTTATACAAAATTTATTGCCGAGTAGAGATATGACTTGACAGTTTTAATTTTGCACAAAATTTATTGCCAAGTAGCGATAGGACTTGACAGTTTTATTTCAGTATGGTGTACAGAGCACAATACAATATAACTTTCAAGTCATATCTCTACTCGGTAATAAATTTTACACAAGGTATGATAGCACAGAATTAAAGAGGCAGAAAAGACTTTTGTCCATGAGTGTATTTCATATATGAGTCCATTTTTTTTATAAAAACTGTTTTTCAAAAGAGTTCGAGATTTTTTTGCTGTTTTTTGTCTGTTTCACCAGAATTCTTTTAGTACAACATGTGATTTCAATCGATCAATTTACCGACCAGGCTGTTTACCATTTCGCAACTGACTCTCGACACTGAACTATATCATGTTGCAAAAAATGAGTATTCTTAGAAATAAAAGCTGAAGACGATTAAAATACTCGAAACAAGTCGAAATCTTCGAAATATTCCATTTTACAAAAAATATAAAAGTATCGTATAAATACACAATATGAAATCGAGCTTTGCAATTAGACCTTGTATTTTTTCAAAAATAAAATCTTATTATGCGACCAGACTTTTCACGATTAGGTCTGATCTTTTTGAGGCGGCTTCTATTAAGTCTCAAACATTTTTATAAACTGTGACTACAAAAACTATTCGAAAGATTTTTACAGATTTTCAAGGTGTTTATGAGTTTTTCGGAAGGGTTTTAGTGGTATTTTCAGATTTTAATACAGCTAGATGGCGAACAGTGAAATTTTTACCTTACATTCGAATGATTTTATCAGTTTTAGCACGAAAATTCGAAAAATTTTTTTAAAATGTGAAAGTGTTTTTGGAAAAATATGAGAGCTGCTAAGACATCAAACACATCAAACACATTGCTCATCTCAGAGGGACTTCTATTATGGGAAGGTGTTTAAGAAAAGAATTAATGGTCAAGAAAAATAAGAAGAAAATCTTAAAAATCAACTCCTGAGTTTAGGAGAAATATTATCAGGACAAACGTTTAAGAATCAGGCGGTTTCGCAATCCTGAGACACATAGTGTGCATTGGAAATCTTTTTTACATGAAAGCGCACATAAAACTTTGAAACCATATTACATAGTTATAGTATCTTGATAGGTTTATGTTTTCAAGTTTTCGAATCGTGAGGGGGTGAATGTTGATATTCGTACAAATACAGGGTGAACCCATGAGAAATGTACCATCGTATTGGAAAAATCTTTTTTATAAAACACGACTTAAAAGGTGTGCTGAAGTGTTGAAGAGTAAAAATTAGCACCCATTCCCCCCCCCCGCCCACAGATTGGGACTGAAAGAGCTGCAAAAATTGTCACAGACTGTGGCAAATTTAACAGTGAAACATCATTAATTATGATAAATATCTTCAAAGTCATAGATATAACATATCTGATTTCTATGAGCAACAGCAGTTAAGTCGTGTTTCATATTTTCAATCTGAAAGAAATTTCTCTAACAGCTTTTGCTATTTCTTCGTGCTATAATTTTTTTCATTTACATTGTACTTTATGTTTAAGACTTTTGTATTAAACAGATATATATATCGATAGTATTTGGTATCTACTACACAGGGACATAGGCAAACTAAATAAATGTTCTGTAGTTTCAGTATGTGGCTCACACAAAATATGGGATCAGACTTTCGACTAGCGCTGTACACTGAGAGAATTTCTGATACAGAAGTAAATCCTTTCAGATTTATAATAGTAAGATACATTTAGAAAAGAAGCTTCATATTCTATATTTGTTTCTAGTGTTTTTTTCGTTTTAGAACTTCAGTTTAATATTAAGAAAGAAAACATAGTGTGGGTGCTTATCAATGGAGATGCAAGAACGCACCCGACGCGTATGCTGCTTATTATCATTTTTCGCATTAGTCCAGATTACATTAGGACTAGTGGTCGTGTTAACGGAATTTGGTCGTATAATGGCTGATTTCTGGTATACAAACATATTTGCTGGATTCTGGACAGCACCGTTCATTTTTGCCAGTGCTTTTCCTGTCATCTGCGGCGGTAATTGTTGTTTAGATATCAGCTACGTAGAAGACTACTTTTCAAACATATTGAACAGTAGAGAACCATTCTGACATTTAGTTAGTAGATAAAATGCAGGATTTTCAGACCAGTTTTCTGAAGCTCATTCTCTTTACAGATATAGGTGAGGCATGATATAGTACTAGCTCGCCTAGTATCATTGACAGCCATCTTGTCAGTGTGGTTGTGGGTGTGGGTGTGGGTGTGGGTGTAGATATCATAATAATATCACATTCACACCCACCCACGTCCGCGACCACACACTCTCACACTTACGCCCACAGCCAAAACCCACACGTCTCACTAGGGTCCTGCGGGGTTGCCCCGATCTCTATTTTTTTCCCGAACCCGGTCCGGATCCCGTCGTGATCGAGGTCGGGATCGGGATTGATGACGTCACAGGACCGGGACTAAAAATTCCGAACGCTGCTTCCACGGGATCGGGATCGGGACGGGATAAAAGTTTTCAGGACTTAGCAAAGTATACCTTATCGAAGTGTAATTTCTTTTTTATTCAAAAATTCAATATAATCTTTCGTAAAAATAAAACTAAAATACACGTGTACACATGCCATGAAAAACAATGTTCGTAAGATAAATAAATAAGTAAGGTTGAAGAAACAACAAGTTTTGATCATTCTTTGAGTTCATCTTCACTTGATACGGTGTTATTATTTCCAGTTCGATGCTTCTTCGATACTGAAGATGTCTGCTATTTACTTTCATGCTCGTCGCTCGACTTATATTCATCGATTGACTATCGTTCCTGTCTTTGATCATATAGATTTGTCCTTATTGATCTTGTCTTCGATCTTTCTCATTTCACTTTAAGTGTATTGAACTGTTTTATCTTTCTCGAATATGCATTCTCTTTTCGGCTTAATCGATTGGTTTGATATAGTATCTGACTGAAAGAACTCAGAATATTATAATATACGCTTCAACGTCAGCTTTCTATCAACAAAGCGTAATACTATAAAATGCTATCAAGTTGCGTCTTATTTCACATATGCATTTATAAGCTATTTCTGGTAGATCCAGAAAAATCGGGTTTAGACGAGACCGGGACGGGTTGCCCGGTTAGAAAGCGGGAGCGGGATCGGGATCCCGAAAGAGTATTTGACAGGGATCGGGACCGAGGCATAATCGGGACCGAGACGAAAAAACCCGGTCCCGCAGGACCCTACGTCTCACCCACATCCTCATTAACATGCCTCACCCGCACCCTCAAACTGACCAACGAAGTCCAGTATCAGTCTCCGTAAGTCTCATTTGGATCTATCCCATGCTCTGAAGCTGAGATTTAATATATCAAAATATTATAGATCAGACACTGCATAGCGATAGCTTTAAGGAAATTCATGAATATTTTTAGCAACGTGCTGTGCCTCAAAGAAAAAATGTCGAAAGCGGGCGTTAATTCTCAATAGTGTGTCGCTGTTGCCGCTGTCTTCGGTGATTGCTATAGACATAGCATTTCTTATCGATCCCAGCATATGCATATTGACTCTATCTTCTTGTAAAACGCAGCCTGCTCTTACCTCTTTTCAATATATGCAGACTTTACCTGCGTTTAATAATTACTCGACGAACGATGTGAAAAAGCTATATTTCATAGTCCAGATTGCAGCTGCTGGGCTAGCATGTCTATTGGCGATTGTGTATATTATTTTATATGCAAAATGTTTCAAGCAGCCTTCATCGACATCGTTAGCGGACGTTGCACCGCCACCATATGAACCGGCAATTGACAAACGAGGCCTATCGAATAGACTACCGCCACTTGATCGTGGTGCTATGCGTGACTTACAGAACTGTTCAACAGACATTGGTAAACAGAAATCACGGATGTGGAAGACGAATAAACGTCCCGAATGGCCAACATACATAGCTCCCTGGTCAATTTCTAATTCAACCTCTGGTTTTAGTTCTTTTTCGCCACCGTACTGATTTATATTTAAGTATAGTGATTGACTTCTTACCATGATGTTTTCTGAATTTTTGTAGTTACTGTTTATGCTATTAACCATTAATATTTGAGACCAATTCTATAACTATTTTATTTCAGATTTGAATATTTAACATCATTTATCTGTGGTTTGCCAAGTACCGTTTCCCTTTGAGACATTACCAGAAGGTAAGAAACGTCTATGCAAATAAACAATTTCTACACCTTGACAAGTCTCTAGCCGTTAGCACATCCTAAACAAAAGCAAGACGAGTGTAGCGTTTGTCGAATTATCGTTTTGATTAGACTTGAGGTATCTTCGAACGAAAAACAAACTTTATATTGTCAAAATGCTAAATTTAACTTCTGTATCGTGATATTCTTTTAACTATGAGGTTTATGTATATGTGCCATAGCGCATATCTGTACTTCCTAAGTGTATAACGAAACTAGAACTGAGTTATCAGTCTGGTAGTTATCGATCTCATTCAGTTGAAAATTTTAATCAGACGATTCTTCCTAACTTTCTCAAATTCAATCTACTTATCATTATACCATCTTCGTTAGTTTTTATATATCAGAGTGATTGCGTCAGACGAATGTTGAAAACGTTTTTGCACGTCGGAGTGCTATACTATATGAGAAAAGTAGAATACGATTAACCCTGCTAGTTGGATTTGAACGTGGGCATAGATTAAAATCCATCAGACAGACCTATAGTTGAAAATAAATTCCGAACTACTCGAGTCCGAGTATGAAGTCAAATATTTTGAATCAAACGGGCTGTGAAGAGGAATAAAACGTAACTTATAACTTGATTATTACAAGTTCAGCATTACTACTGTCCCAAGGGTATATCAAATGCGTTAATCATTAATACCGAGGAATTGTAAACAAAAGTTTGCATTTACGCAGCAACTATCAAATTCGAAGAGTAAAAAACACTCTTTGGAAGTGTTAAGAGTGCTACTAAGATTCAAGTGCGGATTCGAAAAACTGTAATAAGCCGGATTTGATTTCAAACATTGTACAGGGTGTCTGGAGAACTATTTAACAAAAGTCTTTTTGTTAGATTTCCCTATTTGAGGGTGTGGATGTGAATCAATGGAGAAACAACTGATTATTTGTTTAGGGGTGATTAGAGATGATTAAGGGAGATTATAAGTGATTTCTGGACTCCTAATCAGCTGTTTCCCCCTTGGTGTAGATGCTGATATAGGTATTATATCCATATCTGATTCACATCTACATCCACACCCAGCAACCTACATCTACCCATCCCCATATTCACATCTACACGGATACCCATAGCTACACCCACAAGATGGTTCGAAAGTTTTAAAATAACATACCACTCGATTTGAGGCTTCAATGAAAATTTTCGGAAGTCAAATGACTTGGCTAGGCTTGAAAAAACTTCGACTTGTCCACCTTGACCTGTAACAAGTTTCATTAATATTGAAAGAACACAACGTCGCTTTCGTGCCTTTGTCAAAGCGCTCGAGCAATTTTTGAAGTGTTTGTTAATATTGTTCTCGCAGTAATGATTATTTCTAGGTAAAATCTGATTAACAATTAGAATACAAACTCGGCAACTGATCCTTGAATTCTAAATCGATCCATTAGATGGGTGCTGCATCGATCAAACAAAGCAGCAAAGTTCATCCAACGAACACTCAAGACCCGGTTACTGAACAGCATGTTCAAGATGTTAATCTTATTTGGGTGGGTGCATTACTTAATAACAGTAACGAAGTCATAATGCGTGAAAATTTGCAAACTGTTAATCACTATGTTCAACTCATTCCTGATATCGATGCTTTTCGAGCACATCTGCCGGAAGAAAAAGCTGAAAAGATTTTTGTGGTAATTAATGGCACACTGGCGAAAGACTTCATCGACAAGTTTCATGACAATTCGCTCATTGATTCTATCTTTATCTTTGATAATCATCCCACTTCAGAAAGCCAAGAAGTTTATGAAGGACTTCAGCTAAGTTTTGTCAAAGTAGCTTCATTTACGGAATTCAATGCCATGAAGCTTCATATTGCAACGAGCATAAAAGAGTTACTTCAACAAACTGTTGCCTTTGGTATGTTTGATGATAAACAAAAGTTAGCTAGAGATCTTAACCGTGATGCTGCATCCTTCTTATGGTTTCAAATGCTTCTTGATGTGCTGAAAGGTATTCCACAAGAGAATAAAGAGAAACGCATAATGCTTGATATGTGCCGTCGTATATACCACGATAACTCAAAGGAGATGAAGCTCATTCGAGAATTTGATAAAGACTATAAATCAACAACAGCTGTGTGGTGGTACACACGAGAATGCTTTCTCTATCGTTTAGTTAACAAGGCACTGCGCCAAGAAGATATCCGCTTCCTACAAGTCTATCGCTTTTTCATCGTCGATTTATGTAATCAACTTGAGCAAGAACATCGGAAGCGTGTTGAAAACGATTCCGATGATAAAGACAAGATTATCGATCTCTATCGCGGCCAACAGATGACAAAAGCTGAGAAAGATAAGTTAAAATCGAATCTTAACTCTTTAATTTCAACGAACGGCTTCTTTTCGACATCACAAAACATAGAAACGGCCATTACCTTTGCGAAAAGACGAGGCACGGGACGTTCCGACATCGTACCTGTAGTCTTTCATATTAAAGCCAAATCCAACTTGGAGTCAGTCATCTTCGCCGACATCGCCAACCTTGGTGCAATGCCTGGTGAAGCTGAGTATTTATTTAGCATTGGGGCTGTTTTTCACATCGATGAAATAAAGCATGACAGCGAAGAAAGAATTTGGCGAGTAACAATGACCGCAACTGATAAAGGAGCAAAAAGTCGAAAAGAGTATATTGAAAAGACAAAATTGGATATGGAGGAAACTAGTGAAGATGTCTTATTCGGTCGGCTATTAATTGACATGAGTCAATATGAAGATGCAGAATCTTACTATCAGTCAATGTTGTCAACTATTTCGTCAAATCATGTCGATCATGCTGCCATTTATCACAATCTAGGCCGGGCCAAAGGATACAAAGGTGATCTAAATGGCGCACAGGAGAGTTTCCTTCTCGCTCTACGAGATCGTCAGCACATAGATGAAAAACATCCAAATGTTGCACGTACTCTGAATAGTATAGGCATCATATATGGTGAGCAAGGAAAATATACAAAAGCGATGAACACGTTCAAGGATGCTTTAGAAATTCAAGAGCTTTACTCATCATCCTTAAACGGCAGTAATAAACCGCAGAAACGAAGCATTTCATTGAATATGGCTATAACATACAGTAATATGGGGTGGGTTTATTATTTATGTGGTGAATTTGAAAAAGCGAAAAAGGCACATTGCAAGGCTCTTGATATTCGGAAACAGTATTTAACTGACGAACATCCACTCATTGCGGATTACTATAGTTCCATCGGTAGTATTGAGCATGCTCAAGGTTTATATAAAGAGGCGCTTGCAAACTACACAACATCGCTTAATATGCGGCGCAAAACGCTTCCACAGAATCATCCATCAATTGCCAATAGCTATCAGTTACTTGGTGAACTGGGACACGACAACGGAAAATATGATAAAGCTCTTGCTCAATACAAAATAGTGGAAGAAATGCGTATTGCCTCGTTTGGTGTTGATCATTCATCATTGGCTAGTATTTACAAATCAATCGGTAGTGTTCATCTCGATTGCGGACAGTATCAAACAGCACTTGACAACTATAACCACGCACTTTCGATCTGTAAGAAGACACTGTCAGAAATGCATCCTGCATTTGGCGATTGTTATCATATGTTAGGCATGGTATTCGAACGACAAGAAAAGTACGATATGGCTCTTCAATCGTATTCCAAGTCACGTGATAATTTCTCAAAAGTTTTGCCAAAAAACCATCCCATGATCGCCAAAGTAGTGAGCTCAATCGGCAATGTACAAATGCGCCAAATGAAATACGCTCAAGCTATTCGCATGTACGAGGATGTCCTTAAGATGCAAGAAGAATGTCTGTCTAATACACAGCATCATCCAGATATTGTTTTAACTCTCAATAATTTTGGCGTTGTTTATAGCATGATGCGTGATTTTCAGCAATCTGAAACATATTTCACAAAGGCTCTAGACATTTGCAATCGTTGCTTTGCATCTGACCATCCGACCAAAGCACGGATTTTTCATAACATGGGTGATATGTACAAGGCTATGAGTCATTTAGAAAAAGCACATGCTAACTTCATTCAAGCTTTCAACATCAGAGAAAACACGCTATCTGATGATCATCTCAGCACAGCAGATACTTGTTATAAATTGGGATGGGTGTGCTCCGAACTTCGCGACTTTAACGACGCTCTCTTTTATTTTAACAAATGTTTGGGTATTTACCAGTCCGTAGGGGCTCAAAGGATGTCAGTCATAGACGATCGTGATGTGAAACGTGTTACTACTAGTATTCGGTTGGTTAAAAGAGAACTCGAGATAGAATAAAAGTCGTGCTTAAAGATATTTGCAAGACACTGAAGCAACCTGGACAGTTAACGAAGATGGGTGTGGGTGTAGGTGTGGGTGTGGGTGTAGGTGGGTGTCGGTGTGGGTGTGGGTGTAGGTGGGTGTCGGTGTGGGTGTGGGTGTAGGTGGGTGTCGGTGTGGGTTAAGAGAAGATAAATATTCACACCTATCCTAAAGATGCTATTTATAGTTTTCGTACATGTACACAGATCGTTGGCGTACCGAGAATAGAGTACTCTGTCATGATCACCCTGAGATCAGTAAAATGAACTCAATATGGTCAGATCTCAGCGTCTCTAGTGCGACTAGTAGCCGACTCTGCTTGAAATTAAACTGAAAAAATAAAAATAATTTGAATTTGGAAAAAAGTGATCCATGTGACACGTTGGTATGATATATGTGTATATGTCTAATAATTCATCGTATATATAGCAACTAATTGCACAAGCCAAAATAATTATTATCTTGCATTTGTTTCAGTTTTTTTAAAGAGAGAAAACTCTTTAACTACGCTTTTTAGTTTGTTTTTAATGATTAATATTTCGTTATATATGTATATATGTATGTTGGTTTTTTCCGACCGACAATGTATATTTCGTTATTTTAAGAATGATTCATGTTCGTCTTGTTTATTGACATTTATAAGAAAATGATTGCAACAGACGCATAAAAGTATTCTTTCCAGCCACGACGACACAATCTTTTTCTTTCGTTCGTTGTAAATAATCATAATTTTTAAGTTCTGACAAGCAGCAAGCTGACCAAAAATTTGTCGATGGAAGAAGGTAATATTGATCGAGATCGTATCGTTGATGGAGATCTTGTTGATGACGATCTTTTCTGTCCAATATGTCAATGTCTTCTATGGAAACCATGTGCCTGTAGTAAGTGTCGACATCTTTTTTGTCGAAAATGTCTTTATACATGGCTTGAAAATCCTAACAGTGGTAGAAGATGTCCATTTCGATGTGAACCATTTGAAGAACAAGATTGTTCACTGTCTATTCAATCAAGATTGAATTGTTTAAATATTCATTGTCGAAATTTAGAATTTGGTTGTACACAAACTCTCTCCTATAATTCATTAGAACAACATGAAAATGTTGACTGTGAATATCTTAGTAAACGATGTTCGGAATGTGATCAGTTAGTATTGATGTCGAGAATGGATGAACATTGTGAGATGCCGGGATTATGCGTGCCACATCCAGTCAAATGCACTGCCTGTCAAACTTATATTGAAAAACTAGTTTTCAAAGATCATTTTCAAGAATGTTTTCTAAATCGAATGATTACGTTAGATACACAAACAACAATGAATCATGAGTAAGGAGCATCTTCTATATGGTAACGAACAATTATTTGTGGATTGAATGCTATAAACCTTCTTGAACAACAACGACGATTTTCACCAGTACCAACAGATTTAATTGGAGTCGACGCAGTACGACAAGCACGCGAACGACGATGTGGATTTTTTTATCATATGTTTATGATGTTAACATTTGTTTTGGCTAATGGATCTAAAGCTCCATTTTTCATTCTAGCATTTTCAGCTATTGGATTTGTGCAATGTACAACTATCATTCTCATCATGTACGGTTTTTTTCTTGTACGAATGCGTGCTCATATTTATCGAGGTTGCTATGTCATTATGTTGATCAGTTATATTTTAACCTACGGCATTTTGTTACTATTTCGATTTGTATCTGATTCGTTGATTATCTATTTACTAGGACTCTTTTTATTTCTCTATGGTTGTTCTAATCGACTGATATCAATGGAATTATTCGAAATGCATCCAATGTTTCATATGACAAAAATAAATATTGCTCTTTACTGTGCTGTTTTATTAACCATGAAAATATTATTCTTACTTTGTCGATTTTATTATTGGTATATACCGATATATTTAACCGCTGGTATTACTGCTTGGATCAATTTCTCCATTGCTTTTCATACAAAACCTGCCTCACGAAAGACGACGACATAGACAATAGACTTAAGATTTATTTCATATATCTATAGCCATTCCAGTTTTCTTTTTAAGTTCTTTTTTATACAATCTTGTAACGATTATAAATCTATTCAGGATGTGAGTCAAGTATGCAGTTTCGAATTTTGACTACAGCTTGTGTTTGACCGAACGAATAGCTCAAAGATTAATATAAGGATTGCGTATAGGTATTAATGCAGAAGAAAATGTGACCGAGAATTTGATACTTAAGAAATACATCTATCATACGAATGTCTCTTCTTTTAGCTCACATCCACACCCGTTACTTGTTATATTATTATCTAATATACAATTATTCTATGATAACTTAATATTTTGATCGAATTGGTTTAAATGAAACTGATTCTATTTTTGTAAAAGAACTTGTTTTAGGTAAATCAGATTTGGCTATACAAAGGACAACATCTATCGAAATCAATTCTTTATCAAATTGATAGACATACATGTTGATAAGTTTAATTTTTTTTCTACGAGATTTATATTATTTGGTAACATGAATTTCATTTTAACATCTCTTTATATTAAATTTTACTTCATTTATGTCTACGTGATAAAGAAGCTGAAGCATACGATGAAAATTGTTGAGTACTGTGACCCTTTTTTTTTTTATATTTTTCAAGTACTCTTTTGTTTTTCATCTATCTCATTTTTTCTATATGTTCACTAATTGAAACGCTTAAGTTATTTTTCATTTTATCTTTTAATGTTAAAAGCATTTATTTATATCTAGATATATGCAGATTCCTAATGAGTATTTTATTATTTTAATACATAATGCAAAACATGTCAACAAGGAAAAATATCTTCCATTCATCTACATATATCTATATATCATTTTTCGAAAGCAGTGGCGATTAATGTTCCAATGAAAAGGTGTTTGCCGGTTTTATCTGTAGTGTGCGTTGAGCGATCATTTTTGTTACCAATCATAAAGTTGTCCAATTCTCATTCGAAAGGGAATTACGCAGCTAGTTTTAAATATGTAGATTAATTTGTTTCCATGTCATTTAAACTCTTCCAAGAGATTCTTCATCCTCAACTATCTTATTATTTTCTTTTGCTGAAAATATTAAATGAATTATAATAGGATTATCATAAATAATGCGCCTAAAGTTATATTAATAAGTCTGGAAACGCTTTTCATCTCATTAAACTGGTAGAGAAAAATATATATAGAAAATAATGAGACGAACGGCTAGAAGAAATATTTTTCTATTCATTTTATTATTACCAAATTAGATAATGGTCCACCAGTTAGGTAAGAATACGTAGGTTGTATTTTTTTTAAAACAATAAATCTAAATAATGTCAAATGCAAGCAGCAATTCGAATGTATATACAAGCGGAACTGTACTAACATATGCTGGAACAAGTGTAAATGAAATTCCTCTAATTGGAAGATTTTGAATGTTTCTTATATCAAATTGTGCATCACTTATTTGTTCTCTATTATTTACTATTTAACAAGAATCTTCGAAGTGGACT